AATGATAGAATTTTACTTAAAATCTAAATTGACAATAACATATTTGTTGTATGTCAGAATATGCATATATATAACTTAAATTGCATAAATTTACAAATGTGAGATATTATCTGAACGATTTCTTGTTTATATTCAAATATCGTGGATAATTGAAAAAAAATATTTCATAGCGCCCAATCGGATGTGTTATCTGTACGTACCAATGGCCCCAAACACCACGAGGTATTATAACACTTTAAGTGTAATTAATTGAAACTAAAGCTCATACTAGATTCAGATCAACGAATATTATATTATATATATTTTATATTACTAACGAATAACAAATAATAATTAAACTAAAATATCAGAGATTTTAACAATCTCTGTTTGTTAATTATCAACCTATTACGTTTACAATATACCATAAAACTTCAATATAATTTAATGCATCATTATATTTTAATATATACATTTTATATATATATAATATTTATTGCAAAGTAAGAACAAGTTTGACACACTAATATAAAACACACATTCATAAATCGAATGAAACTATCTTTACAGTCAACTGCAGACTATATTTTAAAAGTAGAAGTAATAATTATATAAAGACCTTAAATAAAACTTAACTACAATTAAGTCATTAAAATTTAAATATACGCAGAAGATTAATTAATTTCTTACATGTTAGTTTAATTAAAATGGAGAGACTTGCAGTGTTTCTATTTTCATAACTACACTTGAAGTGCTGTGATGCTGCACTTACCTACTATACGCCTACAATACACCTACTATGAAATTCAAAGCCTCTAGTACTTTGTACATTAACAACATGCATAATTGCAACAAACTACTGCCAGCAACCCACAATTTGAGGCAGCAACTGCTGCAAGCAACTAAGCACTCCTTGAGGATCATATGCCTTTGACACGCAATTGAATGCTAACTCAACATAAATGTCGCGTACGGAGAATAAAAATAAAAGTTCCTACCAAAACAAACTAACGAATTAATTTATTTCCATTTTCCATTTTTTGTTTTGCAAATAATCTCTCTTCCACATGAATCAGCATTATCCTTGCAGCCAACCCAGGTATTTGAGGCTCTACTTCTTCGATACTTGACCAGTCCGGCGTTATTTATGTTTCGCTGTTGCGAGCGTTGGTATTTAATTGCAGTGTCGCATTTAGACGACAAAATTGTTGCTAAATCTGGAAAAGTCCAATGTGGCCCTTGGTTGCATAATTTTTTACTTCCTTCTTTAATTTTAAAAATTTCATTATTTGATTTACTGTGCAAGGCTCTGTGCGTTAGAGCCCGGAATAAGGCATGGTTTTTGTGCATGAAAGGACTTTGTTGATGTTGATCTCAGCCACACTTACTGCTTGACGCGTTATTAAAAATGAATTAAAACTGAAGCACACATTTTTTGCAGTGCACGTGAATTCACGAGTGTCGTGAAAAATTTCGCTTACACTGCAATTACAATCATAAAATGAGTTGTTCACAATTTGAAGTGTAAAAATAATTTCAAATATGAAAATGTTTAATTATTTTGTTAGGAGCAAAACACTTAAATCAACAACTTCATTAATTGAACATGTGTGCGTTATTTGCATACTTCAGAAAAGTAATTATTGTAACATTTTAATTATAGAAAAAACATGAAGTAAAGAAAAATGTAATAATATATATAGTTTTCCGGAAGAAATATAATTTTTTCTTGAAGAAAATGTCTGCGTGCTATCAATTATTACAGTCTGCTAACTTTACTATGTACATCTGAAGTCCTTCTTTAAAAAAACTATTTCAAAATGTCTATCAAATAAGGACTAAAAATTGTGACAAATGGAACACATATTATGGATTACTTTTAAAGTTTTGCTTATAAAAAAGCTTAAAAATTCGAAAATGTTTATTTTAATACAGTTTATCTAAGTTGTCTAAGTTATCTAAGTTGAAGTATATTAAATTGAATATTCTATGTAATATATTAATAAGTGAATATTATCAATTAATAACTTTTATTTTAAATAATTTTTTATATCCTTAAACTAATATTAAAAACCCATATGTGTTTGCAAAAAAACTTTTACTGACTTACAATACTAAAAACTAAAGTTATTGGTTTCTAGAATAAATCGGTAATCCCAAGACCGATAATTCACAATCAAAGGTGTTTAAGCACTACGATACTTGAAAAGGTGAAGAGTACGCTGTGTTAAACAGCAGAATGACTATATCATTCTTATGAATGGATATCATACCGCTATACTAAGAAAAACACGGAAATATTTTATTTACAAAATATATTTCAATGAATTTGCAAATCATTGCTAGTTATAATTTGTGCATTAAACGAAACATCACGTCGTGGAGTATCTCAAAACGATCTAAATTCGGTATTTTCTGAACTAGTACAGATATTGAAATGAAGTTTTCTTTGAGTTCAAATTCAGGTCCAAACAGGATCAACTTTTTTTTATATCTCAAAAATTATGACAGGTAGAAACAACGAAGTTATCACAGATTATGTTCAGACGCATGATCCGCAAATTGTCATGCCTTTAATGCACCTATGAGCGAAAACTATATTTATGAATAGTTTCATTTTAATATCTCTCCAGGTTTAATCATCTAAATTTCGTCATCGTTTCAATTTTACTTTACATTTAAAATCTGTACTTAATAAGGTGAGTTTACTCATACCAATTTTAGCAGGACCATTGGAATTTTTGCTATATTCACATATCTCTCAGGACTATTTCATTAAGTAATATGGTTATAAATTATATTTTTAAAAAGAGTACATGACAAACAATACAAAAAAATTTGCTTTTTATTATTATAAATCGTTTAACAACCGCTGAACACGTTAATATTGTAATAACTTACTAAAAAAAATGGGATTCTGTCGTTCCTTTAATATGGAACTTTTTTAAGTGATGAAAGTTATCTCACATTTAGAAGATAGAAGATAGAACAAACAAAATTGTTGCATCTGGGATAGTGAAAATCTATAAGTAACTATTTAATGACCATCGTAACCACGAAATTATGTTCTTGACATACACTGTTTTCTTTCCAAAAGGAGAATATGGGATACAAAAACTTAGGTACGTAGCTATGCCTCAGGGGCCGAAGTTTACCCAAAATAAATCGAAGAACTACATTTTAATATGTTTACATATAATTTATTTTTAATGCATTATGAATGTTTAATAAGTTAAAAATAACTTATTAAAGTTCCAAAACTAGCTCCAAATAGTTATTTTTATTTTTTGTTGAGTGGAATTAATGATATGATATATGGCAGATAAGAGGTTTTAAGAAAATGTTGTCAATCCACATAGCACGTCTTATTTTAGCTTTTCTAAGCGAAATTTAATTTTTTTTGGAATGTTTTTAAATATTTACGTGAATTTTATTTATCCTTTTTAACTCTCAACACTTTGTAATTGCTTTATAACAGCCACCAAGTTATTACACCGCGATCTCCAGCTATTTGCCTGATCATTGAAATTCACCTCAGTAGAGATTTGAGTACTGTCAGATACTCCATGAAGGATATTTAAACGATGTTGTATCTCATAACTAATGGCAAGCTCTAATTAATATACAAGTATTGAAATATACCTTTGGAATTGGAATAACCTATGGAAAAAGTCGATGATCACATTTGAACGTTTGATTTAAAAATGCATATGCTTATGTAAAAGAAAGCTACTGCTTTATAAATAATAGTAAAAATATATTAATTAATTTAATATTTAACTACAATTTTAAATACAATAAAAAGTTCTGACTTTAATTGGTAAATAAAAGGAAAATGCTTCATAAATATAGAAATAGACCCCCAGAACTATAAGGTTTGCTATAACTTCGTCCTTAATGAAACTAATTTAATCATTTCAAAACAAAAGAAAAAAAACAAAAAATCTATAAAAACAACTTTACAAAACGTAATAAATATTTTTAAATAATTTCATTTAATGTATGCCTTTTTCTATTATTCCTGCATTTACAGCTCAAATAAATTTAATTTGCATGTTGAAAAATGCAATCTAGGAGGAAAATATTTATGAATGTAACCTGGTTGCATATTAACACAAAACAGCAAATATTTTACTTTCGCAAATGGAAGCACACGGGAGTGTTTCGTCCGCTGATTCATTCGCAAACATCCGCGCTGAAGGAAGAGAAAACCGCATTCACACTTTCAGCTTTGAATGCAAGGAAAGGAAAATATTTAAACAATTAAGAAAGAGAAAATCTTTTTTTAATTCATTTCTGCACATAATTTTCACGTGCCTCCTGTTTTCTGTTAAATTACAAAGGAAACGCATAAACTCCGGCAAAAAAAAGCACGACTGCAGAAAAAAGGATATGTGAGAAGTGCAGGGCGCAAAGGATGTCGGTAAAGCAGCGCAGCACGTAGACGTGTTAATACATTAAAATGGCTGTGGAAAAAATGCAATATTTATTAATTTGCATTTTTCCATTTTTGCGATTTTACATAGGATGTAGGGTTCGGTTTGCCATGCTGAAATATGTTCTCTAAATACGGCAGTGGGCGATGCATTTGCATAGCAAACATAGATTTTTTATTCTCTACTTTTTTCCCTGCATTTTAATTGTTTTCATTGTGGTACTGTGGTACTGCGATTGTACGTCTGTGCACGTATTTGCACGTATTTGCATTCGTACGCAAATATGTTTATTTCATTTGTGTAATAAGCACTTTGCTCCTTTACCTTCATAAATTTTGACATAACTTGTCAGGATACCTGAAGTGGGCTGCAGTCGAAGAAAACAGTACTGCACATGTTTCAGAGCAATTAAGCCTAGTTTGGGGTTTAGTGCACTTAAAAGGCCTTGAAATGTTAATTCTTTGTGTGCATTGTTTTCGTGCTTATCGTAGGACTACCGTCAAGACGGCCTAATGAAATTGCTAAATTTTTCCACATTCACTTAAGTGCTCTTTTAGTGGCTCTACGAGCTAGTGTGTTACTTACGGTTTAAGTCGAGTATGACCTTCTTCGTTAGTGCTGCCACTACGTGTCCATTACTGGCTTGACATGTGTAAACCTGAAAAAATAAAATTAAAAGAAATCATTTTAGTTTTACATAATTAGGAAATTTTCATTTTATTTTATTTTATTTTATTTTATTTTGTGGTTGTTAGTAGTTTAAGGCAAATTTCTTTTTCCAAAAAGAAACGGATACGCGTTTATAAATAAAATTTTTTGAAGAAAAACTTATTCTTAATACTGCTGTAGTCACTTCATTTATATAATTTTTAACTATGCAAACGTCATTAACCTAACTTCATTTTTCTGCACTTTACACAAAAAAGTGTAAAAAGAGTATATTAAGTTTGTCAAGTTTCTTGTAACACGTGTTAGACCCCATAAAGTATATATATTATATTTTTGTTTGTCTGCTTTATCCTAAACTACTCACTCAGTTTTTAAGTTATTCCAATGAAACTTTGTATATACACATTTCCGGAACGAACTCTGATCATTTGTTGGATTGGCTGAAATCACTATGATCTGAAGATGTCACATAAACTGAACAATCCGAACTGATTGAACTTTTTTCCATTTTTTATAAAGATATATGACTGAAATTTGGTGCAGTATGTACTTATTTTTATATTAGAGCATACATAAAATTATTTATTTATATCGCTTTAGATTTAGATATAGTTGTCCTTGAAACTGTCGAATCAGACACAGATTTAGGTTGGACAAACTTTTATATTTTCTAATGTATATACTCTAAATTTAGAATTTAAGTATAAGTTAAAAAATACATCATTTGTTAAATTTTTCAAAGTCGGACCAAAATATTCTAAAACTATATATAAACTGAACAATCGGATATAAGTTTTTTCTATTTTCAATAAAAATATTCGAACGAAATTCGGTACAAAATGTACTTATATTAAAACGAGAGAACATACAAAATTTAAATCATATCGATTCAGGTTTAGATATAGCTATTGTATAAACTGCCAAATCAGACACAGATTTTGGTCAAAAAACCAAAATACAACGACTGAAAAGACTATTAAAACTGGAGCAAGTTGTCGTAGTGAGGTAGGACAAATTGTCGTAGTGAGATAAAACAACATACAAGCCAAAAACACCTTCGACTTTAATACCCAACGACATAAAAAACTGACAAAAAAAAACCGCTTATATTTCTTATTAGTATTATTATATACTGCACTATATATTTGCCATTATGTATCATATTATATACCATAACATATATATAAGATCTCAATGTAGATTCAAAATTTCGTGTAAGGTAGTTAAGCTTCGGCAAAGCTAATTCTAACCTCTTTATACTTTATAATAGTAAATGTAATGTTACTATTTAATAACACATTCACACAGTCTCATTTAGGCGGTTTTGCTCATTAATGCCGCTAATGAGGATGATTTCCACTCAAATACCTTTCATATAAATGGCCTCATTATCAATAAATTAGCTTATTTAAGGCGAAAAATTGTGAATGCAACCCTTAAAAATAAATTTCCCACAAAGGAATTGTAAACAAACAACAGCTGAGCTGGGGCAGTAAGTATCAAGTAAAATCTTTGTTTTTATTAATTAAATATGTTATTGATATATAAAATGTATATATATTTAACTATATATACTTGACTTAATATATCAATTAGGTATTTAATTTTTTTATGTGATATATTAATAAATGAAGTTTATAAAAGTTCTATCAGCTGCATAAATAAGCTTATTATAATGTGATAAATGTTCACATTAATATAAATGAGCAAGTGCCTAAATGAGACAGTGTAAATGCACTATAACTCATTTACTGTTTCCAAAAAAAAAATATGTTGATCTCAATGCAATCTGATTTAACAATAATCAATGATCTAACAATGATCTATCGTCCTAAACTCATATAAAGTATGGTACAATAGTTAAGAGAAATCACTGAAGTATAGCATAGACTAGACTCTAAGTACCATTTTAATAGTTTTCACTTACTAACTGACTGATATTACTGACTTGAGGCATGTATAAATCAACAACTTTGTCAGTTTTGTAATTCAAATGTTAAAATTTAAAGTCTGATAAATCAGCCTTTATTTATGTAATAATTCGCAAGTCCAAGTTGGTTCAAAATTTTGAGTTTTTCAAAATATATAAATGGACACTTTTTAAAATTCCATTATTCCATGTGTTTTAAGTCATTTTTTTGTGTGAAATAAATATTATTACTAAGTTGAATGAGAAAAAACTATGTTTTGAAGATATGGTTTCAAAGCTTTGATTTAAAATATATAATTTTTTTTATAAGTTTATGCAACGTACATTATTGATTTGATTTTTTCCATTTAATATAAATTATTTATGAAACTTAAAGCATTTATAAGACACACTTGCTTAAAATGTATCAACGAAATTAATTGAAAACTTAATAAAAACGTAGGAAAAAATTAATTTCAAGAACATTAAACGAAAAGCTAAGAAAACGTTCGAAAATTTTATGGTATATATGACAAGTCGATGTTGGTGTTGACATATTTATTAAAAATTTCAACTTCAGCTCCTGTGGATTTTTATGTGCACCGCAACGCCAACGTCTTGAAACCGCTTCGCAAGGGTCTTAAATGTTTTAATTAAACAAGTCGCAAAGATGTTAAAACTAAAAGTAACCCCACTGGGTAAATAAATATTTTATTTTTCTATAAAAAAAGAAAAAAAAAACTATACATATATTTGATAATGTTATTTTGTCATAGATCGAATGAAATGTGTACAGATGAATTTTAGGGAGAATATAAATTTTATATTAAATTCATTTGCCATCGTCAATGTTTATGATTTCCGGACGGACTCCTTAAATTAACACTGCCCAGCCTTTGCTCCAGAAATGACGCCACCAAAACTAACCGCAACTATTTTATGATATTATAATTCGGTTCGGTTTTATTTTATTTATTAATCTTATTTTTTATTATTTTTTTTTTTTTTTTGTAGTATTTCAGTAACTATAAATTGCGTTATATTTTAATGAGCGTATCGCATTAAGTCTCTGCAGGTATTAATTTTCGTATCATATGGCAAGGCAGCAACGTTCTATTTGTTTTATCTACAGCAGGCATTAAATTGCTGCATATTAATTATAATATATTAATAAGCGAGCTATTATTTCAATAATTTATGTGTTGAAACTGTCATAATTAAAGTCAAATATTATTAAATTTTTGTTTGTTTTATAATTAATTAGTTTAACCTTTTAGCTTAACTGGGAATGTTGTGTTGGCCGCCCTTATTGTAGCTGTATCTGCGCTTTTTTGTTTATTCTAAGATACGAGTATTAATTAAATTTATTGCAGGCAAAGAGAAAGGCGACTTAATCACTTCGATCGTTGTTTTAAGTAATTGGAGAAAATTTATGTTATTTTATTGATACCGAAATCAAATTACACGTATATAATTCCATAAAATCTTCCAATAACATTATTACGGGTGTATTGAGCTATGTAATTAGAAGGACATTAAATCGTTTGGAATGGTAAATTAAGTGGACACAAAAATATATAGCTATAGCTATTAACAAAAATATTTGGGTATGTATAAAACAATAAGCAACCGCTAAAAATATTATAGGTTCTCCAAGAAGATGGTTTTAAATAAATAAATTATGGGAAATGAATACCAGATGTTTGCTATTAGTATAACGACTAATGTTTTGCTAGATATTATAATATTAAAGGCTTTAATCAAAAATAATTTTGCATCCTTTAAGTTTTACTATAAACTTTCTTTTAACAGTTTCGCTTTCAGTACACTTTCAACCACATAAGTTTTAAAAAATGTATAAAAACATAAAAATTGAAGAAATTTTAAAGTTTTAAACAAACTTTTAATTATGTGCTCAAGTAAACACGAATTCTTTTTAAATAATTTTTTATATAAGTTGTTTGAGATACTCATATGAGTTGCTATACATGAATATATTTCAAAAATTAATTATAAGTTAAAAGTTTATTATTTAAAAACTACTTTAGATACATTCTCTTAAGCGTAGGAGCAGGATTAACAATAGCTGCTGTTGTACTAACCAATATTTGGAAGGTAAAACAAATTAATACAATTTTTTCGTAAGGCTTTTAATTTTAATTATGCCAGCAACTTTAAACCCACTCCATACAATTAATTAAAATTTTAGTACGTAAAATGAAGAAAATCTGTTAATTGAATTATTATGTACATTATTCATGTTTGGAATCCGATTAAAGCAATATGCCAATGCTGCACAACACAGACTCAGCATTACGAACCAAACTGGTGGGCACAACCAAGACTTTATGGTAGCTGCTGTGTGGCACTGTAACAACGAAGTCTGCGAAGCTACAAACTCGAGGGCAGGTGTAAAAAGTATTTTTTCCAAATTAAGTTACTAACTGCATACCAAACAAACAAAAAAGTATCTGTGAATGCGCTACTAAATATTAGTGGCACATGTCCAAAAAACTAAATCACTTACAAACTGACCTGGGCAAGAGCAACAACAATTGAAAATCAAACAACACACAAAAAAAAATATTAATAAATGTGAATGGAAATCTGATGTAAATACAAAAGGTTTTAAGTATTTTAAAAACTTATAACAGTGCAGAAGTATAATAGTAGATACATATATATATATATGTATTATTATTGACTATATATAAAAGGCCAAGAGTGCGATAAGTTGCATTTCCGGTGGGTGTTAAGATGACACTTCAATACTTACTGGTTTCACAAAAGCATAGCTAACAGACGGTAGTTACAATATCTGACATGAAAGTATGTGGTACACCGCTTCATTTTAATCCGATGGCTTAAGTATTTTATAAGGAAGCACACAACAATCCCAGAAATTTAGAAAATAATTGTATTATTATAGTTACAATGGCCGGAGTGACCGTCTTACAAGACGTTAAGCAATAAAGAAAAATTAGTTCAATTGTTCTCAAATAAATAAATATTGAGAAAAGACCACCTAAGCAGTATGAAATGATAGTAAACAAAAATATCTTGTTTTTTGTAAA